GTATTTTCATTTTCATTTAGTTAAAAATTTCTCCTGAGACTTCTTCTTTGATCTATTTGCTATTTAGGAGTGTGATGAGTAAACTTGGGGAAAATTGCTTAACCTCTTGGGGGTATCAATTTTTTTCCCCAAACTATAAAATGGGGACTGTCAGACCTATTTCAGATCTGTGAAGGCTGATCCAGTAATGCTCAAGTATGTGAACACATGGGGTAAAGCACAGTGTATGATCCAAACACCAGGCATTATTATCAATTTCTACTTTAGATTTTATGACTCAAGTGCACGATTTTACTGAGACCATGCCCTACACCCACAGATGGAAGCCAAATAAATAGTTCTCATTCTAAAAAGTCAGTAGACTTTTCTGTCTATTTCCAAAACTCTCAATGAGGCTAGCCAAGGTTTCTAGACCTTTGTCTTTAAAGTGGACAGCAGTCTTGATGTCCCTAGGCCTTGCTCCTCGATGCTCGGATTGAGTTTAGCCTATTTCTATTCAAAATTTGTTAGTCCAATTTCTCATGATTCAGTATAAATAAATTATCTTGTTACTTGTATATATCAGACACTATTCTCTCGGGACAGCTCTCTATTCTATCAAGAATTCTAGAAAGACTATAGATTCACTGGTACATCATTAATTGAGCACTCAACTACTAAAGGAAGACTTTGGAGACCATATACTCCAACGTTGGGAGACAGAGGACTTTTGGTGCCAGGTTGCAGTCTTCATCATGTGTTTCCTGCTTTCTCTCCCTCCCCATGGAAATGACAGCAGAGGACTGTGAGGCAAAAAAAAAAAAAAAATCCATTTCAGGGAGCAGAGGCAGACCAGAGCTATTAAGAAATTTCTGGAAGTACTGATGGGCAGTTAAAACCACGGAGAGGAAGCTGAAGCTCAGAATGAGTGCTGTGGAGGTAGCAGTAGAGGTGGGACCAGATTTTCAAAGAATGAGAGTTAAGGGGTGGGCAGAAAGCACGGTGATTGGTGAAAGGATCATCCACAGAGCAGGAGACCACTATGCCCTCCTGTACGTCACAACACCACTCCAGTGAGTGGTGCAGAGCAACTACACTCCTGGGCTTTAGCCCCAAGTGGAAATGGGAAGGATGTCTGCTAAAGAATTGGGAGGGCCTGCACAGGGAGGTCCAGCGCCTCAGCTGCCTATTTTAATCTGCACATGGTGCAGCAAAGCTGTTCAGAGGGTGCTCCTCACTCTTAAATGGGGAATTCCTTGTCCTCCTCCCAGGGAGGAGAAAAACCTGTTGCCAGAATAGTCTTCCTATACTAATCAATCATTCCCATCCCTCACTCTGAAATGTAGGTGGACAAGCAAGGATCTGCAACAGAAAAGGACAAAATGAACAATGGGAGCAGCTGACCAGGGAGAAAATAGGGAGAATTCAGGGAACAGAAGAGAACTTTAAAAAATCCAATGTGTATCCTCAGATATTGCGTTTATGAGATGAAAATAAGCTGTTATGAAAATAGAACCATCCAGGAACAAGAAAGTTTTCTTAGATATTAAAAATTATTGGGTACAATAAAAAAATAGTATAAAAGCTAAAGAAAAAGTTGAGGAGATTTCCAAAAACATACATCAAATTGACGGAGAGATGGAAATGAGAAAATGGAGGATCAATCCAGGGGGATCAATATTTGTTTGACTAATAGGAATTCCAGATGGAGAGAAAGAGAAAATGAAGGATGAAATACTCAAAGAAGTGATAGAAGAAAATTTCACAGAGCTGAGGACAGACTCGGGTCTTCAGCACAGAGAGGCCTTTGACAGCCAAGCAGAATGAATGGCTATATGAGTGGCAAGCAGGGTGCTTGAATTGGTATTCTCCGTACACTTCTATTTTTATTTGTTTGAAATTGAAGACATGTCCTTGAGAAATTTCTAAACACAAAAGGTAAAGAGAAGACCTCAAAATACATCTAAGAGAAAACATGTTTCATTCATAATTGAAGGAGAATCATATGACAAATATGAGCCTTGTGTGTGGCAGACATTTTTCAAACATGTAAAGGCAAAGAATGGTTATCTTCACACATGCTGTTATGAAAAAATTACTTGAAGATATACTCTAGCAAAATGAAGAGGAATCTGAGAGAGAGGAAGACATGGAGTGCAGGAAGCAATGGACTTGTCTCCGAGTGAGTATACAGGGAGGGGATTTCTGAAGTGGATAGTTGTGCAGCTTTGAGAGCATCCAGAAAATCACAAGGCTTTGAAAGATTCTTCGAGAAGAAAGGGAATTCCACTCAGAGGACAGTAATAATTAAGAGAATAAATAATCTTAATGATGTGAAGACATATGCTAAGAAAATAAAAGAGAATCAATTTTAAATGCAAGGAAAAGCAAACATCTATCTATTCAAAGAAGTCATGGTCCAAATATGTAGGAGACTAAAATGTCGTATAGTTTTAAATGATTGATGAACTGTAAGAAACTTGATGATTGTCATATTTTCCTTTGTGTGGCCCAAGTGAGTGACCCAGGGCTACCTCTCTTCCTCTTTGAGTTCAATCGTCATGTTAGGGTCAGCAGTGAACAATTTGACATAATCACAGTACAATCTGCTGGTTTCTCCATTTTTAGAATCAACATAAAGACCTAGCATGGGGGGTGGGGGATGGGGGAAATGGTTGAAGGTGGTCACAAAGTACAAACCTGCAGTTATAAAATAAATAAGTTCTGGGGATGTAATGTATAGCATGGTGACTATAGTTAATAATGCCATATTGCATATTTGAAAGTTGCCGAGAGAGTAGATCTTAAAATTCTCATCACAAGAAAAAAAAATTGTAGCTATATGACGTGATGGATGTTCACTAGACTTATTGTGGTGATCATTTCACAATATATACAAATATCGACTCATTATGATGAACACCTGAAACTAATATAGTGTTATATGTCAATTATATCTCAATAAAAAATAAAATAAATTAAAAAAAACCATAATGAGATACTACTACATATCACTAGAATAGCTAAAATTAGAAAGTCTGTCAATACCAAAAATTGGCGAGGACGTGGAGAAACTCTCCTATACTGCTGGTGGGAATGTAAAATGCTACTGCCACCTTGGAAAACAGACATGCAGTTTCTTAAATAGATAAAGGTACATTTTCCATTCTACCTAGCAATTCCACTTCTAGGTGTCTACCGAAGAGAAATGGAAACATATGTCCATACAGACTTGCACATAAATGTTCGTAGCAACATTATTCCTTGTTCCCACTCAAAAACTGGAAGCAAACCAAATATCCACCAACTGGTTAAAAAAGAAATCTAGTATGAAAATTTAAAGACGATTAACAAGAAAGATGTAAAATGAACATTAACAATGATTAAAGAATGGTATGTAAATGTTAACCATCTCCAGCAGGTAAAGGTGAGGCCGACTGAATTAGGCAAGTTGAAGGTGTAAGTAAAAGAAGAGGAAATATAGAGCTAATTTCCTCATTGTCCAACAGGGGAGCCTGAAGCTGACAAAACAAGTAGATGGCTTCGTGTGTTCTTTTTTCTTTACAGTGGTAGAGGTAACCAACAAGACAATTAAGCATGCAATTATCAAATCCACAGGGGCAGGGCAGGTGGAGGTGTGCAAGCGAGCTGCTTCCTTCTGTTTCCAAGTGTTGAAATTGATGGCTACATCTACATGTGATTAATCGAGAAAGAGTGATACAATGTGTTCTGTCACTGTATCAGTGCAGTGCCAGGAAACCTAAGCATTGAGGCAGTTAAATGCCCTTGGGAGGTGGACAGGAGGCTTCTGCTTTTCATTGTATGCTCTTCTTCGTTATTTGCTTTTTAAACCATATCTATGTATTTAACTGGATAATAGAAAGCAAAGAACACTAAGCAGCGTTAAAAAGTGGTTGGATAGTATTTAATGCCAACAGGAGTGGAAAAATGCAATTAGAAAACACATATGGTACTGCTGAATTTTTCTATGGTGATGCGCACGTGAGTGCGTGATGGCTTTTGTCTGTATTTTCTACAAAGTACTTATTGCTTTTGTAACAAGAAGACAGGAGGCAGGCCATCATTTTACGCCAGGCAGGGCCTGTATGTTGTGGCAGATTCCCTGGGTTAGGCTCTTTCCATAATCTTGAAAGCATGGCTGTCTCTGTGTGGCTGACTCAAAAATGCACCCTCAGTAAGCTGCTCCTCGTCAAAGAGAAAAACAGACAAACAAGAGCCGGGGTCCTTCTCCCTGAGTAGAAGGTCCCCAGAGCTTGTGAGATTTTTGGAATCTTTTAGATTCTCTGCCACAGCATTCTGCCTCATAACCATTCATGGAGCAATTTATTTTGCTCTGAATTCCTTTACCAAGAGTGGAAAAACTGGGAGATTAAAGAAAAAATTAAAATATTTAAGGTATTGTGCTATTCTTGTTAATTTGCGTAATTCAATAATCAACACACAAACACCCTCCCAACCCTGTATCTTATTCCTTTAATGTGCTTATCTTATTCCATAAACTCTTCATACTAATTTAATAAAGAGTAATTTTTAAAAATGAAATGCATTTGTGCAGTGATATGCCAGGCATGTTTTGAGAAATATGATTTTTAAAATCTGACATGAACCTTCTAGATATTCCAAACCCCTTTTTAAGCAGCAGAGCCCTTTTTGCAAACAAAAATTTACCCTGAATCCCAATCTACAAAACAGATCAAAGAAGCTGCTTTGATTGAAGGAGGGGTAGGAGGCCTAGACTGTTCATCACACGCGCTCCTTATGCACACGCCCCCACACCATACCCACACACAACCATACCACACTCACACACAAACATCCTCTTACATATATCACAGATACCACAGGTATAGACCACACACACACTAAACCATATGCACACATTACACACACACACACACACACACACAGTTCTCTAGTCCTCCAGGGTTTCACGGAACATAGTTTGAAAAATCAATGCTCTCAATGCAATAATTGTATTTAATTTTAATGAGCTATTTTCTTTCTTCTTTTTCTTTAAAAGGGTAAAAACCCACTTTCACCAGCAACGATAAAATATTTAGTGGTTATTTCTTCAAGAATTCTGGTTGGAACCCGTAATTAGTGCTAGTAGCTCTCACTTCTTGCCCGTCCTTTGAAGTTAAATAGCAACATCTCCTAATAATCCTAATGGATTACACTCTGGATCATCAGAAACCCCAGATAATTTCCTGAGATCTGTGCCACAAGAGAGAACATACTGATACAGCATCTGTGCAAAGTCATGATAAATGGCATGAATTGAAAAACACTTAGTTTCACCGGCCAGTGGGGCCCGAAGACAAGGATCTGGCTTCGTGCTATGTCAACGCGGTTCCAAGCCAGCGCCAAGCCCAGCTGGTCCGGTGCTGATGCGTTTGTCCCTGGAAAGGCAGGAAACAGGCGTTCTCCCTCCGTGCCTGGACTGCCTGGGTCAGGCGGGGACTGGGTGGTGAGCACGGGCTTCCCTGGGCTGGCTCAGCGCTGGTGGAACTGAGCATCGCTGCCTTTCCTCTCGCCCCTGAATGAACCCTCAGGCCCCAAAGCTAAGAACTCCATATTCTTAAAGAGCTGCCTGGGAGGGGGATGGAGGCAACCTCTTTCCACGCCAGCTCTGCATGGTCTCCCTGGGAGGGACAGAGGAGGAGCCCAGTGACTCCAGGACCCTCATCTGCGAGACAGCAGGAGCCCTGGGACTGCCCAGACATCTGCCAGGCCAGGCCAAGGGGTGCTGCCCCTCCAGGCTGAAGGTGAGCACAGCCCAGAGCACCAGCCTCCAGCTGCAGGGAGACCAGCACAGCGCTGCCAGGCAGCCGCCTGATAGTGACATCCTCTCCTCCCTCCTTCCTACCCCCTTGTTTTCCCAGTGTAGCTGAGAGGCAGGGAGGAAGTGTGTGTCCTAGATCATCCCACGAGTGGCTGTCATTAGGAGCAGGACGGGGAAATTGGACAGAGCACTGTGGGATGCAGTGATTGCCAATGAAAAACCATTTCATGTTTACCCTCTATGAGTTGAAACCCTTAATGAACTAGTTACAAATGGAAACTTGTTCTGACTTCAGCCCATCAGTGTCTGTTGGCACCCACAGAAAACACTCCCTCCCGAGAAACCCATTTCGAGCCTTGTCATTCTACCACGGCTGCATACTGAGATAACTTTAGGCAGCCTGGCTGGCTGGGGCAGGAGAAGAGGGAGCGGGATTTCCCGGCCACGAGGGAAGCCCCAGGTCAGGCCAGCAAACTGAAAGGACAGAAGTCGCCGTTTCCTGAGAGCTTACCTTTCAGCAGGGCAGTTAAAATGGCCATCTCGATGTCTTGCTGACCCTCAGAACCCATTCTGAACACGGTGACCTGAAAACAGGTTAATCATGAAAAGACTGAGTAAAACAAAGTTGAAAATATGAGGGAGAATTGGGGTGTTTTAAAAAAAGGACCACAGAGGACTGGCCCGGTGGCCTAGTGGTTAGATTTGTGAGCTCTGCTACAGCAGCCCGGGGTTCGTGGGTTCAGATCTCGGCTTTGGACCTACGCACCGCTCATCAAGCCATGCTGTGGCGGTGTCCCACATACAAAGTAGAGGAAGATGGGCACAGATCTTAGCTCAGGGACAATCTTCCTCACCAAAAAAAAAGGACCAGAGAAACTGACGTAATGCAACGATTCTGAGAGCTAAGCAGTTTTAGACCAGGCACTTTTGATTTCCAGAAGGGACAGCATTGCTCGTCCTGACTCTGAATCCTTGCCTGGATCCTTATTTTATTATTTACCCAATCTGCTCCAACACCCTGGAGAGGAGGCGAGCCCACCCAGGATCTACACTCCAATATCTAAATTGCTACCCGGGATGACAAAATCATTTCTACTCAGATTTGATATATTTGTAGGAAATTCATAAATTTGGAATTTTGAAGAGGCTGATGTAATGTACAACAAGAGTGCCTATTTCTTATAAACACGATTAAGGAGGCAAGAAGTGGGAATAATTGCAGCATTTGGAAAGTGAAGTGATAGAATTTTGTAAGCAAAAGGGTAGTATGTGTCACCTTCCTCAAGTCCTTAAATTGGATGAATATCATGAACCTCGGAATTGGTGTGATGTGGGACAATGTCACCTGACATTTACCAAAGTCTGAAAGTACCTGGGGCCCTCCTCTGCATGCGCTTATTATGCTTCCGTCACCTGGACATAACTGCCCATTTGGTATGGACTTGTAAACTGCCTCTCGGAAAAGCCTGAACTAAAATGTGAACAACTCCACCATGCACACGTGGGCAGAATTAGGAAGGAAACAATTGTCTCTGTGGAGCTGGTTCGGAAATAAACTGAAGACACTTACGAGTTCTTTCTTTTTCATGCACTCCATTATAATTGCAAACAGCTGATGTGATTGTGTCTTGTTGTAATTAAATGTTTTCTGAATGGTAACGAGAAGCTGATCCCTGAGGGATTCATTTATTATCCTGTTCAAAGGAAATGCAAAAGCAGAAAACAACTCAAGTTAAATTTATACGTGAATAAATCAGACATCTCTATGTCGGTCTGGCATCTTTGATTTGAAACGTTACCATTGGAAGGTGTCCCGGGATAGGACACAAAAAGGGACCATAGTCAAAAACTGTGTTCACGCTTGTCCTAAATTCCAGGCTTGTTGAAAACCTTATAAGGGAAAATGAAGTTGGAAGAGAGTGTGTTCCCCCAGAGAAAGAATTCTGTAAGAAACATCATGCTCTTGACAGCTCCCTCACATGCTGAACTCGGGAAATGGGAGAGGAAATATAGTAAATCTTCCTTATTTAATACTTTTTTTTTCTTATTTAACATTTTTGGAATGGCTAAATGTATCTCTTAAGGTTTTCTTCTTGGTCTAACAAGAAGGCAGTTAAAAGCCCACCCTTCGTAACAAGTCAGAAATCCTACCCTCCTTCTTCACAGTACTTGTGTGCAAAAGACAGGATGTCCGAGGCTCGTCCGCTGCCGTCGCAAACCACCACAGGGACCGGTGGGTCTTCTCGGAGATACTCCAAGACGATGGAAACCACGTTAGGGCCCCCTTCCACCACGAGGCCCACGACGGGCACGCCCTGCCCCAGTCCTGCAACACACACCACATGCGCTGTTCACACCAACGTCATGGCATTATCTGCTCACTGGTTTTAATGTCTGAAATACAGTGAAGAGTGAGACATTTACGACTGGACGAATGCTCCACACGGTGTTAGTGTTCACCAAGAGACTTGAAGGAATTCGGACATGTGATGGTTGTTTCATTTTTTTAATTCAAACTCCATATTGTGGCCTTATCGGAAAAGCTGTAGCCTTAAAATCATGAACTTCCTGAATCTTATGTGGTTAAACTCCATGTATAACTCACCTGGCATATGGGTTACGTCAAGTAAGATGTGAGAAATGTTGGAAGATTCCCCTTGCTAAAAAAATACCTCCCTTGCTGCCCTGCTCCAGGTGAAATTCCCTCCCTGGGTGGTGGTCCCTTAGACAATGACGCAGTGAAAGGAGATCTGGGCCAGCGATGGGAGAGCTCACTTGAATTCCTGGCCTCTCAGGTATTAGCCTTATGACATTGGGCCCATCACCAAGATGCCATGAGCCGTAGATGACCATCTGTAAAAGATGAATCATCACAATGCCTCCTTTTTCTCCTAAGGGAGCAATGGATATAAAATATAAGAAAATGTTCGGCTATCAAAGTATTTTGTCAACTTTAAGTGGCATACAAATGTGGTATGTGGTAGTAGTTGTTTCTGCCTCCAGTGCCTGGAATAGGCAGTGAGTTATCTGGGAGGGCAAACCCACGGACCACCATTAGCCCATCAGTTAATATCTTGTTCCCAGAGTCCTCCTTCTGTCTCTGTCAGATAATAGGACTCTGCAGGAACACAGTAGGAGCAGCTAGCTTTTGGTGGCAGAACCAGCAGACTGGGCTCTGGGCAGCAGGATGATTCCAGGAACCTGGGATTCTAGAAAGAGAAGACAGTGGGAGAGGAGGAGCCCCAGAGACAAATTTGCCTACTTCACAGTTTTACCCCAAACTGGCCATGACAGACTATATTCTGAGCATGTCTCACCAAGTGTCCATTAGTTGTGATGGGAGTTAACTGATCAACATTAACAAATGTCAAGTAAAAGAAGTGTCCTTGGTCATACAATTCTAAAGCCCTTTAGATTAAATCTGCTAGCATGCCTTAAGAGAAGATCTAAGAATTTCAAGTGGGAGAACTCAGAGTGTCTGGTTTGCTTCCACAATGCATTTCTACAGTCAGAAACTTGTAAAAATTTTGAACAACTTTGTCTTCTTCTACCAGAATAATCTCAGTAAAGTTCATTTCAGCAAATATACGCTGAGGGTCTGCTTTGTGCCAGGCCCTGGCCAAGAGATACTGGAAAAATGGACCAAGATGGTGTGGACTCTGCCATTGGCATTTCCAACCAAGTGAGGCTTGGCATTCTAGATATTCAGGAATATGGTGGTCAAAATCACCTTCTTTTCTAGAAACAGAGTAGAATTGACTCTTCTTGGTTTAGGCTGGACTCCCCGAAGCTCCATGCAGTAAGAGGTGACGATTGAGCACCCCTTTGCTGTCCCTGCCCCACTCAGAGCCCTAGGCAAAGGATGACAAAGGGAAGCCCACAAGTCACATGGCCAAGTGAAGCTGGGCAGTGTGAAAACTGACAAGTCCAGGAAAATAAAAAATATAAGAATAAAAAATTCAGTCATCAACCAGTTTATCAACAGAGATCTGATTGTTGGAAATCCACAACTTTTCGGTCGGCCATCCCATTCTAACCACTCGCGCAGTCTCATAGACCCTTTAATTATGCTTTAGAGTGACCATTTTCCAGGCTTAGATTGTCTTTCACAAAAATCTTACCAGTAACGGTAAAAAACAAAATACTCTTTAAGATCATTTAACAATTGTTTGACAATGATAACTGCTGGAGTATGAACATGTTCCAAGAGATGACACCAGTTATTTTAATTCTAACTGGTTGTTATTATCATTTCATCTGGTTGAGGTTCATTCCTATCTCTCTAGCTTGACCTCAGCATTCTCCCGATGGTGGCAGCTCCCCGCAGGGCTGAGCCACCTGGACCAGCACAGGTGGTGCCCCGTTAGGAGCAGATGGCTCCTGCAGCCGTCTCAAGAGGTTTCCCCACCCTGCCTGTCTTAGTCTGGGTGAGAGACCTAGAGCTACAGAGATATTTAGTTTAATGATCACATAACACTTAGAGGACAGAAGGAATCATACTAAGTCTTTGAGTGAGAAATTTTTCTCCTGTTCAAACATTAAAAAGATAAGTACAGTAATTTCAGGGAACAAGAGCCATTGGACAAGATGGCAGGCAACGTGATCACCACGACAACTGCTGCAGAGCTGTTTCTTGCGTCAACCCTCCTTGTGAACCCGGGGCAAAGCATCACAACATAGCTCAAGGAGTGTGATTTGGTAGGTGGAGAAGGTAAAGGTCCAGGCAAGTCATCCTCTGTTGATCTAACAAGAATCAAGGTTAAGGTTCTACACACCCTTGGGCAGTTTCCTTTTTCAGCCTGGTTTTCATGGTGGCAGCTGCAGCCCAGTTAGAACTTACTTGTGTTGATCTTCTGCAGAGAGATATGCTTTTCCAGCTGCCTTCGCAGCTTCACCTCGGCGCCATATTTGCCCAGGGTGCCGTTGTCGGCCAGGATGAAGTGAGTGTGGGAGTTGTTGAGCACAGAGAGCTTACTTAGAGGGTTGGACATGGTCTGGTACACTCTTGTTACCTGACAAAATGCACAATAGAAATCAGAGCTGCAGAGTTTGGACATTAAGACCAAGAGGGGAAACAAGAATACATATGTATGTAGTGACTGCTTCATCTCATGGTGCACTTAAACCCACTCTCACTTCCCTATCCTCTCTATTGAAGGATTTTCTTTGCAAATTTCTATATTAAATTAGGAAAAAATGATTTATTTTAGATAATGATGACCCAGCAATTGCACTCCTGGGCATATATCACAGAGAAACATTACATCACATTACATTAACACAAAATTCTGTACAAGAATGTTTATGACAGATTTATTTGTAATAGCCAACTAGAAACAACCCAGATGCACTTCACCAGATAAAGGGTTAAACAAACTGTGGCACATCCATACCACGGAATACCCCTCAACCACAAAAAGGGACAAACTATTGATACACACAACCTGGATCAGTCAAACAACAGAGCCAATCCTCAAAGGCTACATACTGTATGATCCCATTTATATAACATTCTTGAAATGATAAAATTGTAGAGGTGAGGGGCAGATTAGTGGTTGCCAGGGTTTAATGAGGGAGGTGGGAGGGAATTAGGTATGGATATTAAAGGGCGACATGAGGAACCCTGGTGATGATGCAAATGTTCTGCATCTTGACTGTATTGATGTCAATAGCTTAGTTGTGATATTATACCATACTTTTGCAAGATGTTACCACTGGGGAAAAGGTAAAGGGTATATGGGACCTCTCTTTATTATTTCTGACAACTGCAGGTGAATCTACAATTATCTCAAAATACAGACTTTGATTTAAAAAAATTGCCAATGTCTGGGGAGAAAACACTTACATCCTTTCCAACCAGGTCTTCCTTATTCTCCACGATACCCCATGGAGCAATTCCTATAGCACAAACTCGGCCTCTGGACTTGGAGGAGTGGTCTTTCAAGGCATCGCCTACATGGCTGATGACACCTGTGAGCAGCCATAAGTCATATTTTTAGGCTCTTTACCTCCCATTATACCACTATTCATAAACTTTAGGGACCCCTCCTCTGAGCCACTCCATTTCCTATGGCACAGGGTTGAGACATAATGATCTTCACCATTTAAAGAAAGTACACTGACAATCTGAGCTCATAATAATTAGTCATCCTGCATTAGTCTAGAAAAGGGAAAACAAAACAAAAACAAAACCCAAAACAACTGTGCAGGATTTTCTTTACACGTTTCCAAGACCTAAGGATGGAAGTAACTGGGATCTCTTTGGCAGTCCTTGGTGGCATTCAGCTGAAGTTGAGAGCCAGACTGCTGGCATGTTCCTCAACCTCTCTGTGCCTCAGTTTCCTCTCCTGCATATGGGGAAAGGACTGTTGACAGCCTCAATGGAAATGAGGCTTGTACAGGGTTCAGTTTGGGGAATGGCACATAGTGGGTGCCAGAAATGTTGACCATATTATATCATACCAAAATAAAAAAAAAGCTACTGAATAAGATTTCACTTCTGTCATAAACATTATCAGGATGCAGTATGCCTTGTTTTCTGATCTTAATTATGTGGAAGCTCTTTGGGAACCATGATGAGTTCTGGGTTTGTGTGTTTACAGTGAGGGAGAGGGCCCGCTCTTACCAGTGCTGACGCCCCCAGTGAAGATCCAGGCCCCAGTGGTCATGGCGGCCTTGATCAGACCTTTCCCAAAGACCTGTTTCAGCTTGGGCTGCATCTCAAAGTTCTGGAGGCCTCCGTGCACGGATATTAAGAGCTTGGGGAGTTCTAGATGCCAATCTTTCACCATGAGATGAAGCAGCGAATCTGGCTTTGTGTCATAGGATACGCGGATATACTGCAAAAGAGTACGTGACACTCAGCACCTGTGCTTGGTTTTGCCTCCTGTGCCACACGGGAACAGGGCTATTGCTCCTGTTCAAGCAAGCGCAGTCTGGCTTTCTTTCCCTCAGGGTTCTGGGGCCCCCTGTGTGAGTCGGTGGCCAAGTGACAGAAGGGAACTTTGGAAGGGATGCCAGATTTAGCAAATAAAAATACAGGACACCCAGTTAAACTTTAATTTTATATAAACAACAGAAAATGTTTGAGTATAAGTATGCCTCATGCAATATTTGGGACATACTTACACTAAAAAAATTATCCATTGTTTATCTGAAATTCAGATATAACTGACTGTTCTGCATTTTACCTGGCAACCCTAATCTTGAAGGAATCAGTTCCATAGTGGGCTCAGCTAGAACTCTGGCCCCAGAGGTTGGACAGGGTGTTGTTGAGGGAGTGGCCTTGGCCACATTGAGTGGGTGCTGTGAATGGGGATCATGGGCCAACCTCTGAACTTGACCTTCCCCTCAAGGTGAAGAAGTTAATGATCAGATGCCTTAGCCCTTATGAACTGCTTCTTTGTGTCTGTGCCAATATGTAGCGTGCCATTGCAGAAGACTCTATGTTGTGGTATTTGGAACACTACTGAATTTTATTTGAAGAACGATATTGGGCCAGTGAAATAAAATGAAATTGCAAGAATGGTCTGATTGGGCACACAGGAGTACTATTCAGAATTGGCTTAAAGGGATCACAGTGCTGATGCCTCCTCTCTCTGGCAGGGTCATCAGAAAGGCAGAGGGCACTCCCTGTTTACATGCAAATGTGAAAGACCTTGGTCTTCCTGGGCCAGCTGAATGCAGACCCAGGAAGGCTGTGGATGAACTTCAGAGGGAAATATTTCCAGACACTCCTAACTCATTTAAAGGGGGTTGAAGTTCCACAGTTATAAGAAAACAAAACCCTAAACAACCTCAAAAAACAATGTAATTTCTCTCTCATCACTGGAGATGGAGCAATGAGTATGTATGGTTGCAGCGTTGGGCTGGAACATGATTTACAGACTCACAATTTTGGTATGGATTTAGGGGACACTACGTATTCTCTATAACAGTGCCCAGTTTCCAAATCTCATGGCTAAAAAGCTGAGTGTGCAGATATATTTCTTGTCTTTGCAACCAGATATCTAGGAAGATTGAGCCACACCCCTGAAAGAAGACCAGGTGTCTGCAGTCTGGGGATCTGGGAGGCTGGGCCTCTGATGGAGGCTGTGGGCCCAGTGGCATCCCTTCCTAAGGCGTCTCTTACCATGGCTTTATTGGAGTATCCGCCACCCTGGAATTCAAGAATCCCATAGGAATCTGTTGGGTAGCTCTGGGTGTGTTTGGCGACAGACCATTTTTCAGGCTGAGTCTCCACCTGTTTGATTTCTTCTCCATTTTTGCTGGGTGTCACACTTGGCAGAGGGGGAATATGCTGGTTGGTGAGCTGGCCACAGCAACACCTGAAAAGAAAGGCAAAGCAGAGTCTTTCTATAACGTTTTTCTCCTTAAGATGAGTTAACCTGAACAGGAGAATAGCACTTGAATGGGGGCAGACTAACACCTACTTATCCAGCTTAACTGGGGACAGAGATGCCCCTTATAATGGCCTTTTCCAGATAATCAGTGTATATTTATTTACATACCAGTCTATTTTAAACACATTGGATGGATGCCCTTCCTTACTGAACATATTTTAACTCTTTTTGATTTCTTGATAACATCAATATGGGCATCAACTAGTGAACATTCTGTGACAAAGTACAATCATGCCCTCCAGATATAGAGTTGACCTTCTAGAATTTTTCAATACTGTTGAATTCTTCTCTACACAAGTAACATTGAAAGTATATTTCTTTTGCTGCTCATGCTTTTGTTGTCATATCTAAGAATCTTTTGTCAAATTTAAGGTCATGAAGATTTACTCCTAAGTTTTCGTCTAAGAGTTTTATAGTTTTAGCTCTTCCATTTAGGTCTTTGATACACTTTGAGTTAATTTTTTATATATGGTGTGAGGTAGGGGTCTAAATCCATTCTTTTGCATGTTGATTTCCAGGTGGTTCAGCACCATTTGATGAAGAGATTATGCTTTCCCCACTGATTTTGGCAACCTTGCTGAAAAGTCAATAGGCCATGGATGTATGGATTTGTTTCTGGATTCTCAATTCTATTCCGTTGGTCTGTGTGTCTATCCTTTTGCCAGTACCACACTTCTTTGATTACTGTAGCTTTGCAGTAAGTTTTGAAATCAGGTAATGTGAATCTTCCTACTTTGTCCTTTTTTTATAAGATTATTTTGGCTATTCTGGGTTCTTGCAAATTCCATATCAATCAGCTTGTCAATTTCTACAAAGAAGCCAACTGGGATTCGAGTAAGGATTGCATTGAATCTGCAGATCATTTTGGGAATGTTGCTGTCTTAACAATGTTAAGTCTTTCAATCCGTGAACATGGAATGTTTTTCTAATTATTTAGATCTTCATTAATTTCTTTCCACAGTGTTTTGTACTTTTCAGAGTATAAGTTTTACATTTCTTTTGTTAAATTTATTCCTAAGTGTCTTGTTCTTGATACTATTGTATATGGAATTGTTTTGTTAGTTTCATTTTCATATTGTTCATTGCAAGTATGTAGAAAAATATATGATTTTTGTGTATTGATCTTGTGTGCTGCAAGCTTGCTGAACTTGTTTATTAGTTATAATCTTTTTCTGTGATTCCTTATGATTTGCAAGTATGTAGAAAAATATATGATTTTTGTGTATTGATCTTGTGTGCTGCAAGCTTGCTGAACTTGTTTATTAGTTATAATCTTTTTTTGTGATTCCTTATGATTTGCAAATATGTAGAAAAATATATGATTTTTGTGTATTGATCTTGTGTGCTGCAAGCTTGCTGAACTTGTTTGTTAGTTATAATCTTTTTTTGTGATTCCTTATGATTTTCTATATACAAGGTTATGTCATCTGCCAATAAAGATAGTTTTACTTCTTCCTTTCCAATATGGATGCCTTTTATTTCTTTCTCTTACCTAATTGCCTTGGCTAGAGCCTCTACTACAATTTTTAATAGAAGTAGTAAGATTGGACATGCTTGTCTTGTCTCTGATATTAGGGGCAAAGCATCCTATCTTTCACCATTAATTATAATGTTAGGCATGGATTTTTCACAGATGCCTTTTATCAGGTTGAGGAAACTCTCTTCTATTCCTAGTTTTCTATTTTTGTTTTATTCATAAAAGGGTGTTAGATTTTGTCAAATTTTTTTTAGTGTCAATTGAGATGATCATTGCTTTTTTGTTTTTTATTCTATTGATGTGATGTATTGCATTAGTTGATTTTCTGATGTGAAACCAACCTTGCATTCCTGGGATAAATCCCAGTTGGTTATGTTCTATAATTCTTTTTATCTGTTGCTGGATTTGGTTTGATAGTATTTGTTTAGGATTTCTTCATCCATATTCACAAGAGATATTGATCTGTAGTTTTCCTTTCTTGTGATGTCTTCATCTGGTTTTAATATTAGGGTAGTAATGGCCTCATAAAATGAGTTGGAAAGTGTTCTTTCATCTTCTATTTTTTTAAAGAGTTTGTGAGGAATTGGTATTAATTCTTCTTTAAATATTTGGTAAAATTCAGCAGTGAAGGCATCTGGACCTAAGCTTTTATTTGTGGGTAATTTTTGATTACTAATCTTATCTCTTCACTTCTTATAGGTCTTTTCAGATTGTATATTTTTCTTGTATCAGCTTCATAGTTTGTGTCTTTCTAGGAATTTGCACATTTCATCTAGGTTATCTAATATATTGTCATTGGTGTACAAATTATAGTATTCCTTTATACTCATTTCTATTTCTGTAAGATTGGTAGTAATGTCCTATCATTTCTGAGTCTAATAATTTGAGTTGTCTCTCTTTCTTTATCAATCTAGCTAAAAGTTTGTCAATTTTGTCACTCTTTTCCAAAAACCAGCTTTTGATTTCATTGATTTTTCTCTATTGCTTTAAAATTTTCTATTTCGTTAACTTTCATTCTAGTCTCTATTATCTCTTTCATTAACTTTCATTCTAGTCTCTATTATCTCTTTCCTTCTGCTTCTTTTAGGTTTAGTTTCCTCTTCTTTTTCCAGTGTGTCGTGGTGGAAGGTTAGGGTACTTATTTAATTTCTTTCTTCTTTCTTAAATAGGCATTTACAGCTATAAATTGTCCTCTCAGATCTGCTTTAGCTGCATCCTGCAAGTTTCGGTATGTTGTGTCTTCATTTTCACTTATCTTGAAGTATTGTCTGATTTCTTTTTTGGTTTCTTCTTTGACCCTTTGGTTATTTAGGAGTGTGTGGTTTAATTTCCACATATTTGTGAGTTTCCAATTTTTTTTCCTGCTATTGATTTCTTATTTCTAATTTCATTTCATTGTGGTTGGAGAACATACTCTGTATTATTTCTAGCCTTTAAAATTTGTTGAGACTTATTTTATGGCCTAGCATATGGTCTATCCCGGAGTATGTTCCCCATGCCCTTGAGAAGAATGTATATTCTGTTGTTCGATGGAGTGCTCTGTAGATATCTGTTAGGTCTAGTTGGTTTATAGTGTTATTCAATTCTTCTATTCCCTTTTTGAACTTCTGTCTAGGTGTTCTATCCACTATTGAAAGTGAGGAATTGAAATTTCCAACTATTATTATTGAATTATTTATTTTTTTCTCCCTTTATTTCCATCAGTTTTTGCTTCATGCATTTTGGTGCTCTGTTATTAGGTGTGTATGTGCTTATAACTGTTAGATCTTCCAATGGATTGATTTTATTATCATTATAAAATGTCCCTCTTTATCTTTTTTTTGGTGAGGAAGATTGGCCCTGACCTAACATCTGTTGCCAATCTTTCTCTTTTTGCTTGAGGAAGATTATCCCTGAGCTAACATCTGTGCCAGTCTTTCTCTACTTTGTACATGGGATGCCATGTACAGCATGGCCTAAGGAGCAGTACCTAGGTCCACGCCCGGGACCCGAACCCATGAACCCCGGGCCGCCGAAGCGGAGTGTGTGAACTTAACCACTACACCACTGGACTGGCCCCTAGTAACATTTTTTTTTTTGTTTTAAAATCTATTTTGTCTGAAATCAGTACAGCCTCTCCTACTTTCTGTGTTGCTGCTTGCATGGGTGGGGCCTGGGCAGAAGACGGGGGCCCCATCTCCTATATGCACTCACCTGGGACTTAGCCTCAGCAACAGATATCTGGGGACAGGATGAGAAACGCTGAAGTTCTGCTCCTATCACTGGGAGATGGGGGAGAAGGAACCCTCTGTTCTTGGCTGCAGCAATCTGAAGTAGAGTCTCTGCCTTACTGAGCTGGGATGGGGAAGAGAGGGAGCTCTGTTGGCTCACATACCACAGACTCTAGCCTTTCTTACTGAATTTTTGTAGTTTTTCTTGAGTAGATATTTCTTCATTTGCTGTTGGCCCTTGGGACCACTTCCAGGGGCTTTAAATGGTTGTTTTTTTAATTCCAGGTTTTTCAGCCCATGCTAGAGAATGCATGGAGCTCACAGCGGGGTCTCATGTGTGAGCTCCTCAAGCCCTTTCTGCTCCTTCTGATGCTTAGCTACTTGGCTGTGTGGGGACTGCAGTGCTGGCAGGTGCTAAGGAGGGCTGGCATAGATAGTTTCCACCAAGGAGGGTCTGGGTGCCACAGAAATAAGGAAGGACCTTTAGGTGCAACAAAGGGAAGACTTATGATCATTGGCATTGTCCCATAGTGGTGTTTCTTGCCTTGGGGGGTAATCACTAAGGCTTAAGCAGGGAGAGGAATCCACAGGGTGGTGGTAAAGGGGGCAAGCTTGGGAATGTGGGGGCTGAAGTTGCATGTGTCAAATAAACTTGAACCAGGTGATCTCTAAGAGTCTGCACCCCGAGTCAGTGGTCCTTCCTGCACGGATTTCACATTGGGTGAACGTACAAATAAACCATTCCCTGCAGCCCTCCAAACTCAGCCTCCTAGCTTTTGCCCTCAGAGATGAGAAGTTTAGCTAAATTCATCTCTGATCACTTTCATGGCTTTAGAAGGCCGTCTGTTTAGTTTATAACAGGTGTATTTTCATGTAGGCAGATGAAATTGTTTGACATTTTGTGTACAAAATAAACCCTTTCATAAAGTTACATCTAGTTCCCTTAACCACTCAGATCTTTTCTGTCATGGAAGTTCCTTTTCATCTAGATACATTATGAAACTAACAAAGATGCCCAGAAGATACCCTGGAAATCTGTCTAAAGCCCTCAGCTCCTTGATCTCACCAAGACTAAGAGGAAAACAGCGGGCCCATCTGGTTAAAAGAGTTCATAATAGAGTGAGTGGTGGACAGTAACTCTTTCCTGAGGCTATTTGCATCTTAACAGAGGAGCTTATTAGCCCAAGTGACTCCCTGGTTAATGACTCAGGTGGGGAATAGATTCTGGCCATCCTTCTTGACTCTTCTCCCCCCTCCCACAAACACTAGAAGAATAGTTGCTGGCAATTGGTGGACAAATGCTGGTTTGGATAATGTCTTAATTATAGCTTCCAATTTACCTGTTAGGGTCTTTAGTACTGGGAATTACAAAGATACATTCCTGTTTGCAAAAGGTTCTTTCTATCCAAGCTTTCTGCCCCTGGAGGAGAAAGAAGTGGAAATTAGACCAATATATTCCCAAGTGATCATCAGAGTTCGTTCTTTTACTTTTATAAAATTATTATACCATTAACAGGAAGTCTGCCCAAAACATCTGAATAGACATCGCCAGTTGTGATGCAAATGGATGCAAGTCTTCAAGGATCTTAGCTCTGGTTCCTTCAAAGAGAAATGGCTGGGAAGTAAGTATTCATGGTTTCCACAGAGCTACAAAACCTAGGCTTTGCATGCAAGCTGAAGTCTGCAAAGAGGGGAATGATGCCCCCCTGGAGTAAGCCGGTGTCCAGAGGAGCTGTGGTGTGAACGCGAGTTACTAGAAGCTGACACAGTCTGCAAGTCTCCAATTAGGTCTTTGTTTTGCTCTCAAGAATCTCATCTCCAGACTTCCAGGCCCCCACACACCATAGTAATTTTATAAGTGGACTCTCTAACTGGTGCTCAGAGTGACTGGATCTTAGTTTTGTAATTTAAAATATTGAAGGTTGTGAGGAAACGGTACTCATATAACACGGCTGCTGGAGCTAGAAATTGGTACAGTCTCTATCGAGGGCAATTTGGCAATAATTTAGCAAAATTACAAAGCATGTACCTCTTGACCCAGCAATTCCACTTTTAGGATTTTGTTCTACAGATATGCCTGAACACATACAAAATGACACATGCCCAAGGTTATTCATTGCATCACTGTTTATGATGTCAGAAGACTTGAAGTCACCTACTATCCACCTGTAGGATTTTAACTGTGTTAGGGAACAGTATCAATGCAATTCTCTGCAACTATAAAAAATGAGTAAGACATTCTCTCTATATCAATAGGGAAAGATCACTGAGCTATAGTAAGTGAAAAAGCAAGATGGGATAATTTCTAGAGTACTGTCATTCTGTTAGAGGGGAGAAATGTTAATATAATATAAATATAATAAATGTTAATATGCAAATGCACTAACAGCAGCTAACACTGGTTCCCTCCAGGGTGGGATCTGGAGGCCTGGGGGACATGAATGGAAGAAGATACCCATAGCCTTGGTGCCCTTTAAAAATTTTTTAAGACAATTTTTTTAGAGCAGTTTTAGGTTTGTAACAAATTTGGGAGGGAGGTACAGAGATGTCTCATATGCCCCCCACCCCGACACACGCATAGCCTCTCTCATTATCCACATCACTCACCAGAATGGTACATTTTTTACCCAAGATGAACCTACATTGACACATCATTATCACTCAAAGTCTATAGTTTACATTAGGGGTCAGCCTTGGTGTTGTACATTCCGTGGATTTGGACAAATGTATGATGACATGTATTCATCATTATAGTATCATATGGAGTATTTTCACTGTCCTAAAAGTCCTTTGTGCTCCACCTACTCATCCCTTCCTCCCCTGCAAACCCTGGTAACCACTGATCTTTTTACTGTCTTCACAGTTTTGCCTTTTCCAGTATATCTTATAGTTGGAATCATAAGGTATGTAGCCTTTTCATACTGGCTTCTTTCACTTAATAACATGCATGGAAGTTTCTTCCATGCCTTTCCATAGCTTGATAGCTCATTTCTGTTTAGTGTTGAATAATTTTACATCCTCTAGATGTACCACAGTTTATTTATTCATTCACCCACTGCAGTTGGTCGCTTCTAGGTTTGGCAATTATGAATTAAGGCTGCTATAAACATCCATGTGCAGGTTTTTGTGTGGACGCAAGTTTTCCCCTTTAAAATTTTGAAATATGTAAATGTATTATCTATTCAAAAATATAAAAAGTTTACCCAAAATGAAAAGGTGAAATAAAACAAATTTTTAAAAAACAAGCAAACCATCCATAGTTCTGCCACTCTGATAATTAAGTGCTATCATTTTTCATTTGCTGAACCCTAATTCATTATATCCATTTGTTGAAGATGTTGTTTGTGCAAGGTGCTGTGCTGGGTGCTGTGGGGACTTGTGAGGAGAAAAACTTCAGGGCAAGCTTCATTCACCACCTAGAAATGTCAGATGAGGGGTGGAGACTGCGTGTGGGCTGAAGGGGGTGGGGCAGCACAGACCGCTTCCTGGAGCAGAAGGAGGCAGGGAGAAAGCCCGTCCACCTCACCAGGGAGCCAGCGCCCTTCCCTCTGTCTCCTTGAGGCCTGGCTCAGTGTGTGTCGTGGTATTTGTGTACATGTGACATGTGTGCTTGTGTGATGTATTTGTATACATGGTTTGCATGTGTGTGTACAAGGTATGTGTGTAGAGTGTATGGTGTATATGTATGTGTGTGTGGTGTGATGTGTGTACATGTGTGATGGGTGTGTATGTGTGTGGTGTGTATTTGTGTGGGATATGATATGTGTGGTATGTATACGTGTGATGAGTTGTGGATGTGTGCAATATGTGTGGTGTGTGTTATGCATGTGGTGTGTGTGGTATGTATTATGTAGTGTGTGTATAATGTGTGTGGGTGTGTGTGTGTGTCTGTGTGTGTGTCTCTGGGGTCCTAGTGGGGTGGGTTGGCAGGCACAAGGAAATGGAGCAGCCTAGCATGTGAAACTTGTAGAATTCTGAGTCAGCTCTTGAAGAAACTGTGGAGGGCAGAGATAATGTCCTTGGCCACTCTCCCAGAGTCTCCAAGGGGTGCATCACAGTGTGACCTGTGACCTGTGACCTGAGGTGTCTAGTGGGACAAGACTTGGTGCTGCCCTCCTGGCCACCCCCACCCACTCGGGCAGCAATGCTGATCTGGGGGCTCCCTTGTCTCTGTGGATGCCACCTCCTCGGAGGGTGGCAGTGACAACCCCGTGTCACAGAGGTCCTCCCCAATGAGGTCATGTCAAGGACCTGATGCCACTTTTATTGCTCTGCACCAGAAAGCCTGGCCCCAGTCCCAGCAGTGCAGAGATGATCCAATCCAGGTTTCCATCTTTCTGGAAGAACCTATGAGTCCCACCCAAACTGAGCCTTTCTGAGAGTCAGCTGGTCACTTGGTTTCGGAGTGATTATAATTCAAAACCTTCCCCAGGGGCCTTCAAAAAGCAACACTGTACACTTTCCTCTCCAAATAACTTAATGACTGCATGAAAACTGCATTGCTAACGAGAGGAAAGGGCAGCATCAGGCCAGAGGAGAAAGCTCAGAGTGGCGAGCCTCTGAAGTCCCTGCCCAGCCGGTCTCACACAGAAGTTACAACAATCCGGTGCAGCACAGCCGAGCAGAGCATTTGCTGTCTGGAAAGAAAACGTGCTTTATCTTTTTGCTTTTCACTCCTTACTTCCCAGAGAAGCCGGCAGAGCACATCTTTTTTTAAAAAGAAAACACAGAGTTCACAGTATTTGGACTATATGCCTTCAACTAAAGACAACAAGAACTCTAAACAAATATTGAACTCCCATGAGTAGGCTACTTTTCCACAGAGACATAGGATAGCAATTCTGAAACTACTTTCTGTGTATTCTAGGACTGAACAAATAAGTCAATATATTGTGGATGATGGGAGCTGGGTTTCTCACTGTTGGAGAAGGGAGTTACAAATATGGAAAGGGGGAAGGTTAGAATGAGTCCCTGTAGCATTGGACTGAAACTGAAATTATCAGTATAAACCCATGGTTTGTAATATGTAGAGACAGACAGATATAAAAACAGATATAGGTGAGTGTGTGGTCTCTCTCTCTCTAAACACACACACACACACCAAGTATACACAACATATCATATTAGTCATCTATTGCTTAGCATAACAAATCTCTCTAAAACTTAGTGTCTTAAAACAACACACATTTATTATCTCACAGTTTCCATGGACCAGGAATTGGATGTGGCTTAGCTGGGTGCTTCTGACTCTGGGTCTGTCACAGGATTCAGTCAAGCTCTGGGTGGGGACTAGGGTCTCATCTGAAGGAATGTGACTGGGGCGGAGCCATTTCCAAGCTCACTCATGTTGTTGTTGGTGAGATTCAGTCCCTCTCAAGGGTTGTTGGCCCAACACTTCCCTCAGTTCCTGCCGTGTGAGCCTCTCCATGGGGCAGCTCACAGCATGGCAGGTGACCTCCATCAGAGTGAGGAGCACAAGAGGCATCCAAGACCGAAGTCACAGTCTCTTTATAACCTAATATCTTAAGCAACATTCCCTCACTTTTGCTGTATTGTATGCATTAGAAGTGAGACACCTGGTCCAGCCCACACTCAAGGGGAGAGGATGACTGTAGTGTAAGTGCTGGACTTTAGGCTTTTGGTTGCTGAGGCATCCATTTCAAAAGACATCCATCTTGAATAAACATATCACCAGCTCTAAGATGCAGCTACTAGCAAAACAACCAGATGAAGAATTAGGCCGTCCCCACCCATGAGGTTCCCTCACTCAGAAAGCTCTGGGTGACCTAGATAACTGACGCTTGATTGACCCTGCTTCTCCCTCGCACACCCTACTTTCCCTCTTATGCTTTAAATTATCCCATAGAGACCGAACTCTCGAAACCCTAGACACCCTGCCTTCAGACCCTAACAAAGGTGGAGCTCCAGGTCCACACTCTCTGTCTCTGTATACCCCATAACCTTGCTGTGTGGTCCCCAGGTGTGCCGTGTACCCTTCAGGACCTGTGAGTAATAAATCTTGTTCCTCAAAGTTCCCTTGGTTTTTTCTGAAGTGCATCTTGCAAACATAATAGGAACCACAAGGCCCAGTCTGGTCACAATATTCATCCCAGAGTGGGGAAATGTCTGTGGGGGCTCGCCACGAGTAATATAGGCCCAGGGGAGTGCCTCAGGCATTCCTAGCTGAGAGCATCATTATCAACAGGCTGGGACCCACACAACAGTTCCACAAGGCATGAATATCAGGAGGCCGGGGTCATTGGGATCACGTGCCTATCACACATACATGTGGATGTCTGTGTGCATATCCCTTCATATGTTTCCTGGCTCTATCCACTGAAAGGGCCTAGCAGCAAT